GTTTCGAGGAGGCTTTCCCCGTGCTAACCACTTGCGCCCTCTCACGCCTCCAGTCATCTTGACTCTGTCTTGACACCGGGCTCAGGTGGGGGAGGAGAGAGTGCGGTAGATGCTTCACAAGTCTAAATTTGTTAATAATTAAACCACATGCAAGTCACCATGCGGTAGACGCAGTGCAAGTCCATTATCCCCGCTCTCACCCTGTTGTAGAGCACACAGTGGGCATCGTCGAAATTGACGGTTAAACTGTCTTGTATATATACTGAGCTCTCCGGGACTGTGTGCGAGGGCTGTAGGTTGAGTCCTAAGATGAAAAAGGACGATCATGCCCCATAAAGTGGTGACTGAACGCCCTTCCAGCATATGTGTTTGTAGTAAAGAGTACCGATAAAGATAGCGAAGACTGGTACGACCGCGTCTGGCCGTTTGGTCTTCCTCCCAAACCATATCCGACTGATAGGACAATGGTTCTTTGATTCAACCCTAGAGCAGTGACTTTAAAACGCTCAATGCGAAAGAATCCGATTTCAAATCACAGGTCCTGTAAGTCTGGGGTTGGGCATTTTGGGCTGGGGACGGATAGTAGACCAGAAATGACCATTTCACTCTGACTTGCCCGGTGCCTGTACTCTTTTCTACGTATACTTCCGGTCACTATACGACTGTCTGCAAGGGACTTAGGCACAACAAGACGAGTCTGATTTGTGAACGCACTTCCAACAATGTATACACACATGCTTACGACCTATGAAAGTGCTGTTAGTCAACAAAATGCACACAAAGTTTCCACGATTTAATTCAATCATATCGCTTATGATGCCTTCTGACTATTTAAGGTGGATCAGCCCTATCTTGGTCGCAGATACCCGATATAGAAGTTTATTTTGAAGTCACATAGAAGGAAAATCACCTGATATATGCCCGATGACATTAATTGAATAACGTTACTTTGGTGTTGGCTATGCGTAAAATTTACCTTTCATCAGATCAAACGGGAATAAATTAGGGCGATGAAAAGGTTGTCAACTAAAACACTACGGACTGTGACCAACGTGTGCATGAGTCAAGGATTTATAACCGAAAATTTACTTACCGGTATAAAACCTCGCTTGCATTTTGGTGTGCGGTAATCTAAAAACAGCATATATGATTTGCCTCATGCATAGCCAAACACAAAGTAAAATCAATTGAGCGCCAACTTCCATTATGTCTCGTTTATGAAAAATATATACAAGATGTTTGTCGAAC